GAGAGAGAGAGAGAGAGAGAGAGAGAGAGAGAGAGAGAGAGTGTGAGTGTAAGAGAGAGATTGTATGTGTTCAAGGTAGGGAAGAGGCCGGATCCTGGTAAAGACACACACTGTACATTCTGAAGCTTTATTTACATCTGGAAAAAATTAGCCACACTCAGATCTTTCCCACTGCAGGTCCCATCAGGAAGCCCAAGTATGTGGAAAGCCCCAGGGTGCCTGGCGATGGAGTTATAATCCCGTTCAGAGAAGTGTCCAAGCCCACAGAGCCCAGTGAGAATGGTAAGAGTATGTTTTCAGTGATTTCTCCTACCTGCCCTAAAGACTGTATAGAATGCCAGTCTGTATTTCTGAGTGAAACTTGAGTGGCCCTGCAGGAATGCTTTGCTTAACTAAGTGTACTTGACAGGTCTTACCCTCAGTGGGCAGTTTACAAAGATCTATCTAGCTAACGTAAATTCTTGTAATCACATACACAGGTTAGGAATAGTTGCATAGGTATATATACATTGGGTGAGGGTTGGGTCTTGCTTCCCCTGAGTTCTAACCTACCTGGGCTTTGGGGAACATCAGAAACAAAACAAAAAAATGCAAGAATTTTATTTTCATTATTTTACCACTTCAGGCATTGGGTGATGAAATTTTAACTAGACAAAGGTCCTAAGAGTCAAGTTTTAAGAAGCATTTGGTAACTTTAAAAATAAAAAGAATTGTTTTTAACATCTGAACTTTTTCTGTAGATGGTATTAAAGAATAGACCAGAAAAATTTTCATTAAGACACTTTATATTTTGTCAAGTTTCTTTTGGGTGCAGTGGAATGTCTAAATCTATAAGCACAGCAGACATTATGAATTTAATCACATTTAGTAGATGTATTAGTAGTTTTTTATTTGTAAAAATCAATTCAAGAATGTAACTTGTTCTTTTCTGAGGAGTGCCCAACTCACAATTCTGTGGCCTTAATTTGAGTGCTTAAATTTGTGCCTGTTTTCCTGCCTTGACATGATGATAAGAATCTTGGCCTAGGAGTAAAAGCTCATTTTGACCTTAGTATGGAAACATGTTTAAAAAAAAAAAAAAACTTAACAAAGAAAACCCACCCTTGATTCTACTTTAGAGTATTAGGTATCCGCTTGTGCCTCATTGGTGGTGGCGAGGAAACTGCCTCTTCATGTAGTGACTTGTGCATTCTGTGTTTTTCGTCTTGTATAGCGGAAAGTAGGACATGGCAGGAGAGTGGAGTGGTGGTTACAGTGTAGCTAAAATTAATCTGAAAGGGGCAGTTGTTAGAAATCAGGAGCGCAAGCTGAGAGGAGAACCTGCAGAAGCTGGACTCAGGAAGCCTGGACTGGATAGAGGAGGAGGTGGTATGAAGCATGCTGGGTAGGCAAGAAGTGCAGGTACTTGTGTCCTGACAGGAGCAAGTCCACTTTATCCTTTCTGGCTCAGGACCCAGTTGTGTGGTTAAAGAGCCTTAGCCCAAGGATCTGGGCCAGTGGACACATAAGGCACTGGGTGTACGTGGTAAAGGTGGAGAGTGTACTGTGTATCCAGTACGACAGCTATTAACCAATAGGAGAGCTCTTGGTAGTTAACTCATGAGTGCAAGTGCCATGTTCATTTCTGTTCCATATGTTGAAATGAAAACAGAAATTTGTTCCTCTGAGGTCTCAGTTATTGAATTTGCCAGCTAAACTGTCTGCCCATCTTAGATTAAGCTGCCACCCTTAACTTTATCCCCACCCCGAAAGTCTTTGTCATCCGGTTTGATTATGCCTCTGGGCCTTTACCTGGTCTAGACACCACTGTGTTACTGCTTCTTGTGATTGTGAAGATTGAATTGTTGGAGTTTCATATAGGGATATCTGTTAGAGGGAGAGATTTAGGATTTTTATTGGGTTAAGAAAGGAGGTTATAAATAGTTTCCACTGTCAACTTTTCTCACCTTGCCCAAGGCAAAATTGGCCACCTTTCTTGGCAAGAGGAGAAGTACTTGTGCTTGGCTGTGGGCCAAGGTAAATTCATGTGCAGCCATTGGTCTTGGGGCGAGTATGCTCCCTCCTAAACCGTGAGCTCTCTGATCTGGCTTCATCAGGTTCTGTGGGGACCAAAATTGCAACACATAGATCTTGAAAACAGACCAGAGAATACCTTCTCTGCTAAAATTAAAAAACAGGGTACATTTTAACTTTTTAAATGTGTAACTTGGTGCGTAGTTTGTGGTCATGTGGTCGTGTGTGAAGACATCTATGATGTTGGTTCCAGTCCCAGCAGAGCTGCTCTTTCGTTGGGGAGACAGTTGCCTAACAGCAGTGAACACACAATTAGCAAAGGATGATGTGTTCAGTAATCCTCATGGAATCTGGTAAATTTCAGTAGAGTTAATTAAGACTCCCATATTAAAGTATGAACCCAATGTCTAGGTTATTGAATCTGAAGGAGACTCCTGAGCTAACTAAAGTTACTTGAGCAGAATATTATCCAGGCATGTTCAGATGCATGACGGGCACTTTCTAAGCTGAGGTTTGATACGGGCACCATCACTTCACTCTCAGTTAAGGTCAGTCTTTGGCATCCGTACTTCCTCTCAGTTGGTCTGTGACCACTCCTGGGTGCTGTCAGTCATAGCAAGTCTGTGTCCAGTGCGCCAAAAGAATCTGTTGAGAACAAATGTCTCCTTGTGACATGCTTTGAAATTTCACGTAGATTCATGAAACAGCAACATATTCCAAAATGTTTGCATACTGTTTCCAGACTTGCTACCGCATTTTAGTTTAGTGGCTCCACATAGCTCCATCAATTCTTGATTTTTAATTCTCTCTTTATGTATAACTTAATACCTTTAGCTGTCTGGGAAGTAGGTTCAAACTGATGTTTGGTCTCACTTATAAACATCTGTAGGAAAAAAAATCCTGTTATACCATATTCAGTATTTTAAAATATTTGAAACAGCAATTTTCTTCTCTGACTCCCCACCAAAGTGACTTAACGAAGTCCCCAAACCTTAATCAGCTGTGTGTCACATAGAATGCAGTCTTTATAAATAAGCTTCATGTTGTTCAACCAATATATTGTTTTTTTTTGGGGGGGCGGGTATCATTCACCTTCCAAAACAATGCCTCTGCCTTAGGGGGAAAGAAAACCCAGACCAATTAGAGGAGATTATTAAATTATAAGATATCTCACAGCTTTATTTTTTTTTTATTAGAGACAAGCATAATTCATTTTGTCTTCTAATATATCATTAGCTATTTGAGCAAGCTTTGAAGGGGATGGGTGAGAAAGCTTTAGACTCATGAGTCATTGCTCAGTTTAGATCAATCCCAAAATATGATGAAACTTTTTTTTTTCTGTTAGTCTGGTTAGCAAATAAAACTAGTACATATGAAGCAACATAATAAATGAAAATCTGCCTTACTGTGAAGAGGGTGATCTCTTTTGAGATAAATGTTTAAGTAAATGTTTTTGATGCCTTATGTTTTTGTTTACCATTGGAAACTGAAACATTCAAAGAGACACACTAAATAACCGAGATGTAAAGAATAATGGTACCTATCTTTTCACTACCTAGTTTAAGAAATAAAATACAGCTATACTTCCCCTTATTATATTTTTCCTTTCTCAGTGGGTAAGCTTAATCCTGCTTTAAGTCTCATTTTCTTAAAATGGTGATGCCCTATTCAACTAATGATTAAGATTTACTCAGGTGGGAGTGTGGAAGTGAGCATACCTGGCTTGCGTCCAGTGGGAGAGAAAGTAGACATAGTGAATCCATTCATCCTACATTTCCTTCAGTGAGTATCAGTTAAATTCCTAAGCTATGACAAGTGCTAGATGGTATTTGAGACCAGGTATCAAGCATAGATGTTTGATGCGGGATTAAAGATCTGTATACACAGTGATTATAATTCAAAGGAGAAAATAATGTGGACTAACCCATGCTGTGAGATGAATAAAGAATTCAGCAGGTAGAGATTCTGATCATGAGAAAGACTTCATTAATTACTGTGTTTGAAGATTTACCGGGTGTCTTAGTCCATTCCAAGCTGCTATAACAAAAATACCTTATGCCAAGTGGTGCATATAAACAGTAGAAATGGAATTCTTACATTTTGGGAAGTTGAAATAAAGATGCCTATAGGTAGCTGTCTTTTTCCCTATCACCTTGTGGGGTGGACAAACTCATAATGGCTATGGTCTTGTGACCTATCACCTTCCAGAGGTGCTACCTTCTTGTCTATCACCTCAGGTGCTTAGGATTGTATCACCAGAATTTGAAGAATAGGAAATACACCGAAAGCTTTAGAACATAGCATATGATAATAAAGTACAGTGGAGGGGGCAGGAAGACATTAGGGTCATAGAGGGTGATCCAGAAACAATTTTAGTAGTTACATGAGAAAGAAAGTCTCACATTAGGGTCAGGAAAGAAGAGAGGATGAATGGAAAGATTATTGAGGGTACAAGGCCCTGGGAAGCACTGTAAGAGAAAAAGATGATGGTGCAGGTCTCTGAGGCTGTGTTAGGAGGACCTGAAGGAGAGGGAACTGAGTGCTTTTGGTTGATATCAGCCTTTAGGCATATAGCCTTAAAGCCTGGTGGAAAATCTAGGCAAAAGTGCCCAATCAACACCTGGAAAATCAAGTGGGGCCCCAAGAAAGAGCTCAGCATTTAACTGGGCAACCATTTGCTTAAAGGTAAGGTGATAGAGTAAGTTACACTAGGAAAAAAGATTTAGTCTTTTTTTTTTTTTTTTTTTTTTTTGAGAGGTAAGAATGAGAAACTTTGGTATTTTGTTTATGATTAGTGAATAAAAGTTGAAAGAAACATTGGCAAGAAGGTAGAAGCAGAAGTTCACAAGACCACAGTGCCCTAATGGTTATGAATTTTCCTTCTGCCTCTGTTGTCATTTTCCCCATTATAGAAGAGTTTTCAAGATCAAAAGTGTACTGAAAAATCAAAAGAGGAGATGTGTTGTTTTTTAAAAAATGAAAAATTAAAGTGCTTGGTAGGGCTGTTCTAGGACAGTAATGAACATTAGTGACATTTTAGGTGAGTGGTGAGGAAAGAGAATTGGTAGGGATAGATACACTTTTGAACCCCAAGAAATGGAGCAGATAAAGGAGCATAAGGAGCCCGTGAGTAGGGTGAGCACTGTGTGGTTGTAGTTTTTGTTTATTTTTAAGAAAAGAGATTTCTTTGAACACAATTGTAGACTTAATCCTGAATTTCTTAAAATATGAGTTGTGCATATTGAAGGTGAATACCACCTGTCAGGGAT